CCAGTTGGTTGTCATTCACGGAAGATGCCAGAGGAGCGATTACAGTAATTGCAAGACATTCTCCAAGCAAGGATTAGCAGGAAAAAGAAATGTGGCGAATTGCAGAAGAAAAGGTAAGAGAAAATGCGGATGGCGATAAACCGCCATCGCCGCATACTTCCGGTACGCTACGATGAATCTGAGCGATGCGAGAAAGACGTTCCCGTGCTTTTGGTCGTTATCGCTAATCGGCGATTCGAAGTTATTGAAGAAAAATGAAATGTGCAATTTTTTCAGAGTGTGACTACTGTGGACAACACGCACGGCCTGCACGTAGAAGACCCAGGCACCCCAGGAAAGGTAAGCCTCACTCTTTACATTGAAGAAATGAAGTAGCGCGACATTTTTCTAAAATAACGGATAAAAGCGAATTGTTTCAAAATTATTGCATGGAATATATTGTAATATCGAATCGGCAAATATTCTACGTTACATACAGAAATTTCTAATGTATTTTGCTAGCGAAAAAATATTTAGCATCGAAATGCTATCAGTATTCGACCGACGCAACGCTGGTACGGGCTGCGGCATAATTTCCTCCTGTGATGATTGGTGACCAACAGGAGTTTTATGCCGTTGTCAGGCAACACCCATGCAATACCTGACATTTCCTGTAGCCTTTAGCATCGTCTGCTATCGTTTCCTGACGTTCTTTCGTGTGTATTAACGGATATTTGCCGATCGACGTCACCTGGACACACCACACGTGTATTGTACGTTTCCAGACTTGGCCCGTCGGCACCTTTGATGTGTTTTTTATCGCTTCTCGGCCTTATGGCTAAGATCAAATGTGTAGTATCTGTTCTTATCAGCTTGATATCTGATACGGTCTCCATCGGAGACCTTCGATATTAACCTGATTTTTGGAACGGGGCGGGAAAGGGGGCTTGCTCCCTCCCCGCCGCGGGTTGCTCTGGCCTGGCACTTATTGCCAGAGATAGCCCACCCCCCTTTGGGGGGAAATAAA